AGCTCTGGGTTTGGATAGCTTCCACAATGAGGGTTTGACACCAGGGTTGTTATGTTGGCACCCTTTTTTTTTCCCCAGAAGAAGGATAATGTGTGCTAGATGTAACTTTCTGCCCTTCCTGTTTGCAGATTTTCAGGTCCCTTCATGTCTCACCACTGACCTCAACCCTTGCTGTTTCTAGGTCCCTTCTTGCTGCGGCAAAGGAACCTCCAGGGCACCTGCCTCTCAGTGGCAGCACAGGAAGTGCCTGGGATCCTGCTCAGAGGCCTGTGAGGACTGATTCTGGAGTGCTCCCTTCATCGGCACCACCGTAGGAACAAACAGAAATGTCAGCCAAGACACCAGGTACCAACGTGAAGAGGTTGTTTAGATGCTCTGTGTTCCCTCATCAGTTCACCTTTTGGTTCTTTGGGAATGATTGCCCGGGGATACATTGACTAGTAGGTTTTATAGGAATGTATGTTTTAGGGGGAAGGAGCCTCTTAAAAGGAAAGATGTATTAAAATAACAGCTTATAAACAAGTTTAAATGTCCAGGTAATTCCTTCCGTAGTTTCCATATGGCCAGGGAAATGTAAAATATCACAGCTTCTCTCAGTCAAACAGTCTCACGTCCCTCAGTCCGTGGAAGCTGCATTTCCAGACCCGGGGGATGTTGTACATCCCAAAGCTTCTGCTGTAGCTCAAATAGTGTAAGAAAAGCATTTGTCAGGAATACACTGTAATGGTACCACCAAGTGCAGTAGTCAGAGCTTCATAGCAATATATCCGGCGCTGCAGTATTTCTAGGAGTTTTTCTGACAGAAATAGCAGGTTTTCCTGAAGACCTGATAAATTCCTGAAAACTTTTCATCAGTCCATTCAAAATCRAACTTTAATCAGCCTATCAGGATTTTAATTATAAAATTTTAATTTTTCATACAAGTTTAATTATAAATTTCTGATGCTGTCCTTTTGGATTATTTTTGTTTGTAACGGCTCTTGGCACAATAACCTGCTAAAACTTGCTAGGGACCTTCAAGGATCATTAGACTGAGCATCACATTTTCTTTCCCCTTCCCCTCTATTTTTTTGTGTCATGTAGCTTAGGGAGCAACATCTATTGATAATTAAGGTTTCTGATGAAAAGGAGCTCTTACTGGTTCTTAACTAAAGTTGAGGTGCAGGCATCTCCTAAGTATCTGCRAAGCACAGATTCAGGCTACTGAGAGATTGACAGGAGGCTTTGGCTCCAAACAACCTGGGAGCCTAAAGATAGTGGTGGCTAACACAACATTTAGCTAAAAAGAAAACAAAGGAGAAAAAAAAGAAGTGATCTCTGCTTATGATCTCCATTTTTGGGCCAAAAGCAAGTTCATCAACTTTTGAAGAATATTTTCACAAAGCTCAATCATAGTGGGGTAAATCTATTTAACTTACTACTTATTCTCAATGTTAAAATCTTATACCCTTCTCTGATTGCATGTGCAACCTTTTTTTCTTTGTGTGTGTGACAGAGGAATATTTTTTTATATCCCCCTGCATGGTCACAAGCTTGTTGAAATTCTGGAGTATGTCACTGTGTGAATGCCAACATTTATATCCACCAACCATTCCATTTTTGCTTTACAGAGGCTGCATAAATGCAGTAAAAACTTTGGTGTTCGTGAGTATCATTTATCTTAGGCAACTTAGTAAACAAAACATAATTTCCTTGTGAACATGATTCTTGTGATCACTTTAATGCAGTAGCAGGTAATTAGTGCAGATTTACATTTTTTTGATTTATACAGTTTGACTTATTAACTTTACCTTGTATATAATCATTTCAGCTAGTAATGCAGTAATATTATTATTCCTAGGAAAGGTAAATTTACACACATAAATTTATACAAAGACATCTTAAAATGGAAACTAAAAAGTAAGTTCTGTGTCTCATGATAACTTTGTGATTCCCTTATGATTTTCCATAATCTCCTCCTTGTGTGCATATTATCTACTTTTAACCAACTATCTCATTTCAATATCTCAACTAGTGCTACTTTTCTAAAGCATTACGGAAAAACTGAAATGAGTTGAAAAACAATTAGCTATAAGCACACAATATTTATAATGTCCTCAGCTGTCAGCAGGAGAAAATAATTGGCAAGGAAATAATGTAAAAATTCCGTGCTGGCTTTGTAAGAAATGTTATTCATTTGTTTTAGTGACCCTGGACTTCTTCCAGAGCTGGCCCAGGTATGCGATGCCAAGCGAGGGAAGCGCAGCGCTGACGGCAGGGCCGCCTTGTAGCCCTGGAGCCGGAGGCGAGCAGCGGCCTGGAGCTGCCCGGTAAAGCCTACGAGAGGAAACCAGTGCGTGGCYGGCCGAGGGAATGCACTGTAAGAACATTAGGAAAAACACTTGTTACTGAAAAGGCACTTTGTGTTTGCTTAAGGTAAGATCAAACACTGATCATAGAGCAACAGCGTCAGGAGCACTTCTTATTCCTTCAGATCCACCTGCTGGGTACTAACTCTGCTTTTCCTCTCACATTGTGGGGAGATCCTGTGTGTGTGATCAGTTCAGCTAGATGTTAGCATGGGAGCTGGAGGCTCAGCACTTGCAGACCCCGGATGTTAGCAAGAGATGCTTATTTTCCCAATGTTTTGTATCTGAATTCTTAGAAGTAATCAAATGTTCAAAAAAGACATCTATTGGGTTGGGTTTCAGAGATGGCAGTTTATAGGAGATTCTAGAATTTCACCTTAAATTGCTTTCCAGTGGATRCCTGTAAATGACTAGTCCGCTTCCACCTCTGTCATCTTTCTGATAATATGATATCTCTGTAAGGGGGCCATGAGGGAGGATGAACAAACAAACAAACAAGGACTTTTCTGCTGCGTCACAGCTGTGGCACGTGGATCTTGCCATAAAATCTGCTTTTTTAGTATCTCTAAGAGAACAGGAGGCTGCACATCAACTTGAGGACAGGGAATGACAAAAGCTATGCAGAGATCATATTTTAAGGGAAGAGTGGATTGTCCAAGTTTGACAGGGATAGTTCTCAAACAGAATTGGTGGAATTTGCTGCATAAATTGTATTTTGCAAGTTCTTCCCCATCTATTTCACTCTGTCACCCACATGATTATCTGAAAGTGACAGATGATCTATTCTAATCCCAGGGGTAATTCCCTCCCCTCCCTTGTGCTAAATGACTCATCCTGCTTTAACAATCTGCAATTTATAACCACCACGGCTATTACTGTTTCATCACAACAGCTTTCTCCAGCTACAGAACTTCAGWCAGTCAAAGCCTTTTTACCTTTGGTGAAAGAGAGTAGGAGACTGAGCTCTGCTGAACAAAAATATTCTACTAGMAGCTATGCGAGGAGCTGAGCTGCATCCTGAAGGGGGGGGGGTACAATTAAAGTAAATTTGTTTTAGTTTAGTTGTTTTTTAATTTATTTTACTTCATCCTCTTTGAGAAGTTTGTGATGGGGAATCAGAACAAGTGATATGGAGAGTAAGGACCTGGAACAAAGGTACCCCTTTTACAGAAACCTAATGCTGTTAAGGGATATTGAGAGGAACACTGAGCCTACACCTCATCACTGCTTGGCCTTTGCTGGTTTGGTGTGTGGCTCCAAGGTGTAAAATTGGCCTATTTCAAAGGAGGAAGTAAGTCTCAAGAGGARGACCAACTTCCAGTGAGGCCTCTACTATAATTTCTGCTTTAAGACTGCAGATTTAATCTATCTCTAAATCCACATATAATTAAACTATGTATTTTCATTCCTTGTTTCCAGAGATGCTTTGCTGTCAATCATGTGTGGAGTCATTTTTGCAGCTACAGAGTGAATTAATCTTGATGCTGAAGGCAAGGTGCTTTCCTTACTGTGCTTCATGACTGCCATCAACTTTCCAAGAGCTGGAGGGAAGCCGGAGGAGAAAAGGAAAGCACACGGGAAGAGCTAACACTTCTGTCTGCGCAGGGGAACAGCTGAAGGTCCACAGAAGGCTTCCTCTGCACTGTAGGTGTGTGCTGACCCCCCTGCATTTAATCGAGTATTTGCATGCAGGAACAGACTGAATTGTGCACAGTTTGTGAGCCAGCAACACTGAGGCCTCATTTAATCTCAGAAGAGATGCGCAGTTATTAGACAAGCAACTACAGGGAGCTAACTGAAAACCAGCTAAAAGCTATTGTCACATAGAGAAGAAGTTGTAGTCTGAGCTATGTCTTTAGTGAGGGGTACAGCTGGGCCTTAAAATATAAGTTGATTAGTATTTTTTCATGGGTTTTTGCATATGTTCCATTTCTGGGCAAGATGGCAGAGAGGAGAAAAATGTGCTATTCTCCCTCTGGTGTTCGTTTCTTATCCAAACAAGGGAAAAGAAGACCAGAAGGAAAACCTTTTACCTGGTACAGCCCTGGCTGTGACCTGGGAAACTGCAAGCAGCAGGAGCTGAAACATTTTTGTAGCAGGTATTAACTTCCTTGTCAGCTTGTCTCTAAGACAGATTTCTTTTTTTTTTTTCCTTGTTTTTCTGCCAGTCTCATTTTGTGTGTGCAGGTGCCTTCTTTATCCTTCCCCCCCTTTCCTTTTGGTATACCACAATTCTCTATTTTTGGCCTGGTAGAAAGGGTGGCAAAATATTAAGGAAGCAGAACAACAGTTGACTCCTGCAGTATCCCTGGACCAATGGCTCCAGGGAATGGAGTTCTCATAGGAAGTACCTACCTCGCCTTCATATAGAAGGGTGTCAGAGAGGAGTCACCTTGTTTCAGTACAGTAACCCTATAATGCATCATTCTGAAGGCTGCAGAAGCAAATTGAGTCACATTAAAAAATAACTGCTAACAGGGCCTTTCTTACAATTGTCTTCAAAAATGTTGTGAAATCGTGTTACTACATTTAGTCCCTTTCACAACTCTAGTAATGCAAATTGCAAATGCTATTTATAATTTAAAATACAAGTTTTAATTTTTCAAAGTTTCAGGATTGCTATGAGGGCCTAAGCTCAGCTGAGAGAAAGGAAACTGAAGAAGAAAATCAAACTCAGGCATTTGGAGCTGCACAGCACAGAGACCAACTGKCTGAACTGAGAAGTCCAGCACCCATGAAGCCCAAGGTATGTGAAATTTATTAATGATTTCATGAAAAAGATCTGAATGTGTACAACCATAATGCAGACTTCCTTCTTCAGGGCTTTTAATGGCAACCATTGTGCTGTGACTAGGAAAGATTGTGGGGCTTGGAATATTTTTAGAGGGTTTCAAAATAAGAAATTTTCCAGGTAGTTATTTTCTATACCCTATGCCCAGAATAACTGTGAAATAACTGCTGAAGTCGACAGCCTCTGTGGGTGAGCTAAGTGCTCTGCGTGGTAGCCTTGCTCKCAGCACAGAGATTGAAAATGATATRAAAAAGACAATTGAGGTTGTAGATTTATTTACTTGTATCTCCTAGCAGCAGGCCTAATGATTACATTTCATAGAAAGGTAGGCTTAAATAGTTTTAAAAATGCTATGAGAAATACAAGAGAGCTCACAGGTAATAAACAGTAATAAAAAACTATGAGCAATCTTGTTAAATGTCCAGAAGCAAAAAGGTGACAGTTGCCATCAGAAAGCACATTGTTTTTTTTTTGTTGCAGTTGGTCACATAATATTTCTAGCAGTTGAAGGACTAGTGTGCTGTCTSTGTTAATGCTTGCACCTATACCTTTCAACTTTTATTTCAATATTTGGTATATTTGATCTGTGTGTCCAGTATGCAGGACTGCAAGGGTCTCCAGTTGCATAAGCTTCATTAGTTGTGATGGCTAATGGGACTCTTCAACTGCATGGAAGTTGAACAGCTTGTGACTCAACCCCTACAGCAACAAGGGTAGACTGAAACCCGACAGAGTAGATTTTAATAGAAACTGGATTGTTAGGTTAGATTCCAGTTAGGTTTATCTTGTGAAATCAGACCTCTGAACCACTYGAGATCCACTTCTGGTCTACTGTGAAGAGAACATGCTCTTAGCATTAGTTTCTATGACAAAAAATGCTTGTGTGCATTTGTATACATGCTCTTACCTCTGTTARTTAAGCATCTGTTCCTTGTCTGCTGGTTTTCTGGTTGGAGACTAGGAAGAAATAGATGCAATAAATACATAGTCATGTATGTATTAGTGATAAARTAAGCTGGTAAGGAATGCTTTCCAAAGGTGAAGAGCTCACAGAAGAGCCACTCAGTGAGGGCCACTTCATACACATTTTCATGCTAATGTGAATACAGCACATGTCCCCAAAAGCAGGGTGACTACAGAGCATCCACGACAGCGCTGCCTTATGGAATGGTATGAGGGTATTTTGTATGAATGGAGCTCACTCTTAGCAGCATGTCAGTCCCCTCTTAGCATATTTAGTTGTCTTTGAGTTCCTCAATCACCAGTTTAGCTGTGAGCTGTCCTCATGAAGGCCTAATTTTGCAATAAATAGGAAGGAAACTATATATACATATAATATGTGTGTGTGTTTCCTCTTAATTTTAATTTGCAGCCTGATGTGAAGCTATAATATACTTAAACCGGAACATAAGTTAAATAGGCTAAAAGATGTACTATTAAAAGTGCACTGTYTTCAATAAACAACAAAAATGTAGTTTTGTTTTCAAGACTGACAGTCCTGATTGAAATGCACTGTTTAGGTCATGGAAAAAAATGGCATATACAAAAGCCTATATATGCTTAATAATCCTGCATTTCTTGAGCCTGGCTAACATGTTTCAGTTCCTCTAGGTATAAATAACTAACTCTGGATCTGTGTTTGTTGTTTTTCCTACTGGCCTATCAGGGACAATGCAAATTGGTAAATAAAAAGTCTCAAAATAAAGAGCTATTTTTCAGTATTCAGGGCAATCTCTACTTAGGTGCTACCTGCAGCAGCATCAAGTGATGAATAAGCAATCTGCTAGCGGCCTGGAATAAAAACAAGGGGCTGAAGACGGTTGAGGATGGAAGCCAGCTATCTGGGACAGTGATCCTAATCAATAAACTGGCCGCCTGGGAAGCAGAGTAGTGCTCTTCTGAGTAATTTTTGGATGGAGCTGAGGAAGAAATTGGGTTTTTGGCAGCTGGTAGAGCAAACTTAATTAAACTGAATCTACTTGATTGTCACAGGCTTCTGCAGAGTTGGAGATCCAAATTTTCAAGATGAAGTTTTGTTGAGGCTGCCTTTACTGCAGTGGATGACCTGGCTGCATACCATGCCTTGCAGAAGCAGGTCAGTATCAAACAACTCRCTGCAGAAGATGGTAAATTTATGCTCCTTTTTGCCTACGAAGGCCATTTTCTGAGTAGGAAGCAACCAGTACCTATGGGTAGTCTAGTCATTTATGCACATGGCCTCCCTGAGAGGGGAGGGAGGCCCAGGTTCTGCAGAGACCAGCTGCAAGGGGCTCACCACCTGCCACCAGTGCAAACTGTCCTAGGCAGTTTCTGCAGTCTTGCACTTATTTTTAGACCAAGGATGACTAAATCTGTGGGATGTGATACACAAGGTATAACTAACTGCAGTAAGACTCAGGATTTTAAAAATGTTTCATCCCATCTTCAGAAGCAACTAAGTGAGATTCACGGAGGCATTCAAATATCTAAATATGTAGACTTTTTTAAAAGTGTTTAGATGTCTTGAAATAGYTTTTGTAAATACTTGAGGAATAATAGAACTTTCTTCATGTCTTGGAAGAACAGATTTTTCTTTCTTTTTTGGTTATTCAATTGTATATTAAACTGTTGCAAAATGAGATGTGAATTTCAAGATAGTATCAAATGTTATAATGGAAGAATGAACCAAGTGCTACTCATTAATAACTTTTGTTACAGTGGAAGCAGTATCTAAGTTTGCAGGAAACTAAAAATTATGTTCCTTACTCATTATAGCATATATTTTCTTTCCTCATTAAAATAAGAATGAAATCACATCAGAAGTCTGTTAGAAAAGTAATCTCTTTGAATCGTAAGTGAAGACTTCAAAGAGGATCTCTGAAAATGGATATCCAAAACAGCACTTGAGTTGTGAAACCTGGAGAGAGTGGCCTGTCTTGTTAAAAGGTACAGCTGGTGAGCCTGTTTACAGATGGGAAAGAACTCAGACCTTGTCAACAAATCTGAGAACGGTCAGCAATCATACATACYGCTTTATTAAATGGCATGTAGTAGAGCAGGTCTCTGAAATTAATGCTGTCTGGTCTGTTTCCCTTGTGAACTACAGAAAGAAGAAACACAATTGTTACTGTTGATTTACATCTGGATTTAGATACTATAGTTGCCATGMGGGTGCCTCCACCCCCAGAGGATGTTTATCTTTTAAAAGTTCTATTTTTAAAAATCTAAATCTGTGGTAGAGTGCACTATTAGGACAGAAGCCTCCATAATGAATCTCTCCTTGTATTTCTATAGTGCAAAGCAGCTGATATAAATGTTTGCTGAGACAGAAGGTAGCATAGCAAGGGGCAGAGAGGCTAGGATCAAAAGGGAACAGTGTGATCATTATCTGAGTTAGTGGAGAATACAAGAGCCTGACTGTTTCACAGAGCTTAAAATTCTCTACCTGGCTGGTATGACTCATGACTGAACTCTGGAGATAGAGGAGAGATGCAGAATGAGGACAGATGCAGTCTTAAAAAAATAATAAAAAAAAACCACACAACACCCTCCAACCGGACTCTAGCTTTCCAAAAATCACCCTTGGGTCAGGGTGAGCTCTGCCTTGCTTACAGCAAACCAGCTCTCAAGAGCACRTGCCAGGCAGGCAGCACAGGACCTTAGCCTGTACTAGCTACAGCTATGCAGGAGCAAAAGGCTCAGATATAAATTATCTGGAATCCCKCTTAAGGGAAGGACATAGGGATGACAAATACATTTCTGCACAGGCCCTTGGCATGGGGGATTTGTGGGAGAGGCAAGGTCGAAGCACAAACCCACCAGCTACTACCACCCAGSTTCTGGGAAGTGGCACTTCTGGTGATTTTGCCCATCAGAAGGGGCTGGGGAACCCACTGTTGCAGTTACATTTGTCACTTTCTTAGCTTACRCAGAGGCACACGATTGCTTTTAAAATATTTTTCAAAAAGAGCATAGGATTTTCTCCCTTCATTTCAGTTTTGTTGCAAAAATACTGGAGTCTAAACTGCACGCTGAAGAATACTGTATCCTAAGTAGAAGATTAAAGCCAAACCTTAGAACAACTGCCTTGGCATCTATCAAACCTCTTTGAGAGGGACAGTAGGTAGTGCATGTGATCAGTGTTTAGGGTATTATCTGATAATTCAGTCACTGATTCAGCAAAAAGAAATTCTAAAACATTTTTCAGTAAAGAGCTACTGACTGAAGGCTAGAGGTTTATATAAATGCAGCACTGTTRAATAGAATAATGAAAGCAATGCTGTGGATTATCTTTCTCTATTATGGTAAGGAAAAAACTTAGAAATTTATATTGATGATAGTAATTGTCTCCTAAGTATAAGTCCAATGTAAAAAAAGGAACACCATATTTCACTTTCAAGAACTGGTATGTATTGATGTTTACAGAAATCTTGGATTTAATGTCAAGACCATCTAATACAATCTTTTCATAGTTACAAGAGAAAATGCTTCTGTGCAATATGGGTGATTTTTRCTGATGAAGACATCCAATCCCAAAAGGGGAAAAAGTCTTAACAAAGTCCTGACTTTAAACACACAATCTTTCTCTCTATCTATTAAAATGCTCATTACAAATCCAGTTCCTAACTCAAAAATCTGTTTCTAMTGTCTGGCAGGCTGTTGAGTATCTTTCTTTACAGTTCAAGTCTCCAGTGATTTGAAAGGCAAAGTGTTCCTTACCATTCATGTTTTCCTTTTCTGCTCTGTTGCCAATGTGGTTTTCTCTGAGACAAAGTACCTTTTCCTTTAAGTTAAAAAGCAAGCATAAAAGCAGAAGTCAATCATGAAGGCTTACTGTAGAAATAATAAATGAATACAAACAGCTGCATTCTTCTCAATACCAAGCTTCTCTATTTAGAAACACTTTAAAAGACTAATTTTCCATTTAAAATATTTTCTTCTGATTTCTTAATGGGAATTTTAAAAATATCTATACAGCTATATMAAATCTTCTAATTTTAGCATTTATATCTAAGAACAAGCCTCATGCAGTTTTTCCTGACAGTAAGTTATGTCAATTCTGGAACTGGACTACACGGACACTTGTACTAGGGCTGATTCCAGGGAATGAGATCCCTGAGTTTTTCAGGGTTTTAACTTCATAAGTGGAGGGTAACAGAGAAAGGCTTCTCTAGCCTTTCTGGAATCTATTTTGATTCTCACAATCTAAATAACCATTAGCACGTGGCTTCTCTTAAGAATGAAAGTAGGCCCTCTACACCCTCCTTCGAGCACAGAGATGTTCTGGTTAGCCAAGACAAGTGACCCTTACAGAAAGCAGGCGTCACAGTGCTCCATGCAGGGTGGCCGTGGGCAGAGCAGCGCCAGCCACTGTCCTTAGGAGCTCAGGGAACCCTGCGCCTCTGTCGCTCTGAGCTGCTGCTCTCACACCACGACTGCGCTCACTAAAGATAAACTATGAACYGCCCTTGTTATCAGCAGCTGAGAGCTGTCCTGTTCTGCAGAACCAGAAACCAACCATGGTTTTCCTTTCTATTAGATGCTCCTACAGGACAATACATCTATTTTTTAATTAATATACAATCTAATATAACATATCAGGGCAGGACCTTGGCCTGCAGTGGTCATGTTGGAAGTAATTAACAACCTCATTTTTCTCCTCAGCCACATGTAACTTTGACGCATTTCTTTCCGTGACTCAGTGTAGGGGCTTTTTTAAGTCCAGGCTTTAATTTATTCTCTGTATTGAATAAAAGAGCTGAAATGCATTTCTGAGAATTGTTTCTCTCTATAGGTTGAACCCTTTGAGAGAGGCCTTGGTCATACACTAGTCTATATATTAACAATGCACATTTGTAGTACTTCTGCTTCCATTAGCTGGTACTTCTCAACAAGCTGTTCAGTTTGCACAGCTACTGGAGGAAGGTTGTTGCTTCACAGAAGATAAACAGACTTAAGCAGTTTAGAACAAAAGCCTCAGCAGACCAACATCATTAAGCTAGGATTTTAACCAAATGCACCAGCACCTGAAGTCAGGCAAAAAAAAAAAAAAAAAAAATCCCCAAAACAGGAAGACTCAAATAGTGCAAGGAGGTACCTAAACAGTTCAGTACCTGAAGCACTAGTTTGAGAAGCTGATGGGCACAATTATGGTGCACAAACTCAGAACACATAATTGAGTCCTCATATATGTATATAGAGGGGGCAAAATGAAGCGTTTGTTTTTTGCAAGTTCTGCTCAAAGCGTAGTATACATTTGGTCTCCTACCTGCTGAGTGGAGGGGCGTTGGCCTTTTTCGGTTTGCCATTGTTTAAATTTTTCTAGTGCTTCATCCACAGAAATTGTGCCCTTTTTCACCTTTTCCTGCAAATGGATCAGATCTTCCTGTTGAGCTGGGATGGTGTGTCGCAAAGTGCTGTACGTCACCATTTCCATGTGACCTCTGGGTATTGCTATGAAATGTGAACAGATAAAGACAGGAAATGTTAACTCTTTTCATTTTGTTTTCTGTTATGGTGCAAGTTGTTTGTTCAAAAAAAAGTTACACAGTGATTTTTATGAATTTTCAATTAAAATAGTTTCTCACATGCATGRTTTTGTGTGTTGGTTCTTAATAGGAGCTACGCAATGAACTACTGAGCTATCCACCACTCTCCAGAAGCAGAGAAGCTTCTTTAACGGTTCATTAATTGCCATTCCCTGATCCAGACATATTCCAATTAGTGTCAGTTCACATAAAGCTTCCTTCTACTGCTAAAGCTACAGTACTGACATTTTGAAGGAAATCCTTGTCCTGTTAAGGCACAAATTTCCACAGTGCTTTTTTTTTTTTTTTTTCCCCAGCTTTAAAAATCACATTTTTCAACAGCCAGGGTGTGATCTGGTTGGAAGCCATTACATAGCTTCCCATTGATTTTATTTTTAAGCTACAATCATTAGCTACATCGCRGTGACAAGAACTTGTTATTGGAACCCATTTCTCTTACAATCCTGGTGAAAGAAAGGGACAGGGATTCACACAACTTGGTCCTGTCGTCAGCAACGATGAAACAGGACCTTCCCAGCCCCTGGATAAGGAGCGTAAAGCACAAAAAGCACTGGGCTCAGGCTAAACCCMATCCTTGGAGCCATAACTGCTCGTTTGGTTTGTTTCCCTGTTTGGTTATGCACAAGGAAGGTGTCTTTATTATAAAGATTGTAAAAGATAAAGGGAAATACTTTAATATTAAAGTTTAAAAAAAACAACTTTTCCTATTTCCTCTTGTGGAGCATATGAAATACTAGCTGACACTAGACATGAATTTCAACAATTTTGCATCTCAACTATCATTTATGTCTTGACAGCAAGGAACTAAAGCTTTCCATCTGACATAATTATTTGGAGAGAAGATGACTTCATGAAAAAGTGCATTTTTRTATCAGCAAAAGGATGGTGGGGGTTCCTCAAGCCTATAAGAACTATTTTATGTTAGTGCTCTCTCTCTCTCTCTCTATGTATGTACGTATAAATGTACATATATGTTTTGCAGAGGGGTACTAGCAATGCTCTGTTATTACAGTAAGCTCTAGAAGGCCCTATATTCTTTTCCTAAATGACTTAGCATTAATGAAAAGTGATGYCAGCAACACCAGAGGGTGCAGTTCCCGGGTCTAGGACCAACCAAGCAATTGTGTGCTACTTTGTACATGTTAATCCTCATCTGCTTCTTGTTAAAGGAATACTCTTACTATTGTGATTTATTTTAGGAAGCCATTAATGGAATTTACAGTAGCAACTTTTCAACATGGTCTGAAACTCAAATGACACCTSGCCTGCTACCTTTTTCTTGTAGCTGATCTCTTAATGCTGCCACAGCATTATGGATTTAAACCACATACAGAAAAGCAGATGCTAAAKCAATCAAAATTTCCAGCAAAGCTCTACCAGTTGCATCAAAGTAGTTAGAAAAACCAAATGAAATTCTGTACCTTGCTTCCTGGCGTTGCAGCACAGCTTATCTTGGTCACTGGGTGATCTAGTAGCCTTTTGCTGAAACACTACAACAGAATTAAAAGGAAAAGGAAGCTGATGAAAATGGCAGTAAAAAAATCACATGTTCTGCCAAAAAAGAAGAGTCTCTTCAAAGCAGGCTAGAAGAAAGTTCTTCTAGCTTAGGTGCATTTCTCAGCCCATTGGGCAGTCTAATGTTAATTACTGGAAGACCATGTGGCTGCGCAGAGCAGCAGCATCACTGGTGTTACAGCCACCAAGACAAGAAGGGTTGAGGTAAATAAAACACACTTACCACATGACCATGTTTCTTGCTTAGAAAAACACAGCTGCACCTCTAAACTCTGCAGCTGSTACAGACAACTCCAATACCCACTAGCTTATTTTATGGGGGTGGCAAGGCAGGAAAAGCAGTTAACTGTGCAGTAAYACTAGCGGAGAGTAAAGAAAATTACCTGAATCACATGAACACTGCCTGAGTAAGGGAGGCTCAAGACTGTGCTGACATTTAAACTCTCTGCACTTGCTGTGCCTAAAGGGGAGGAAGGACCAGCTCCTCATTCTCCATTTTCTTCATGCCCAGTCTCGAGCAGGCTGATAGGAACAGTGATAATGAGTGAATATGGCCAGGGACTACTGCTGCCACTGTTACCAGAGAGGTTAAACAGACAAAGTAAAAAAAAACTATGGAGACCGCCCGACTATTAAAGTTTTGTCCTTCTCTACAGTCTAACGCTGAGAGACTTCACCTTTTGTGATACTCCCCTCTGTAATGGCCACAGAATGCTCCTAAATGTGCTCGCATTATTCTCATCTGTACTTGGAACAGCATCCCCTCTTTTAAAGTAACCAGAGCACAGAGGGAATGCAGGCAGCCCAAATTTTACTGCATGAGGAGCTGGAAGAGGGCTACACTCAATGATGTCCCTGCTTGGAAAGTACTTAAATTGATAGGTTTTTTTTGAATTTCTGCTGAGTTTTGCAATGCTGGAGTAATCAGAAATGGAATTACTCTTCCAGTTGTTCAAAGTAGAAGTGTTAAAACTGCTTTAAATGCTGCTTCTTGCTGAAATGATTTCAGKTGGCAGCAAGTAGTCACTGTGGGTAAAGTAAATGAAAACAAATTATGCCTGTTTCTGGGCTGTCTGGAACAATGTGCGTGCACACTGCGCTACGGCTGCCACAGGCTTAAAGAAGGCTCAAGGAATTCACACCTTCATTTCCACAATCAAATTATGGATATACTGCTGAATGGCACTCAGGCCATTCTGTACAGAGACATATTCTGATCCTTCTAGATGTGGACAATAAAGCRAAAATTGCCCCAGCAAAGTAATATTAATATAGTATTTATTTTTTAAAAAAAATTTAAGTACCMTGGTCCTTACAGGATAGAAGGTTGGGTAGTGCCACAGCCTCTCTGCTGTAGATAATCTGATTGAAAAGTTGCAGCACTTCTATTACACTGTTATTTAACAGGTACCTTCAATAATATCCGTATGATCAGAAAGAGCCCTTTAAAAATTGCAGTCACATTGTGATTGATTAAAGTACCCGTATATACTTACRGATCAAAATCTACAAGTTAAAGCAGATACATAATTTTTATCCATGATGTATCTGCTTCCTTTCTGAATTTCTCCCAATGAAGTGAGGTTGAGAGAATAAGCAATTCTACTTCAGCCTCCTGCTACAGGACAGAGATGAAGTTCTCTGCATGCTCTAAATGCATTTTTACGTCTTAGATGGCAAGATGGCTTTTTAGGCACGTAATGTAACCTCAATGTTTCTTCAGTAAAGCAAGAACTATTGCACCATATTGCAGTAGCTCTGAAAACAGAAAGCAACGTTTAACAAGTATGGCAAAATACAATTTTGTGGCAAGCATGCACAAGTCTAGGAAAATTCCTAATGAGAGGTTTGAAAAGTAAAAGGGGGCTCCAAAGTCCTCTGAATTGCCTTTATCTCCGTCAAACTTGTTGCAAATACCGTTTCAGGTTGTCTGCACATGCAAGTAAATAAGCTATGAAGCTTCAAATGTGGCTAATACTTTTCATGATTATCACTACATATATAAGGACTAGAAATACAACATCTAAGAGGACCATTCTATACATTTCGTGGAACTACAATGCAGAGCAAGAGTAGCCAGTATCTGGAGAGAAAATGTGCAGATTTTAACAAGGGCTGCTGGCTGACAACGCCCAGGAATCTGATCCTCAGAATTAGTTGGGCTCTGACAGAAAGCTGTAATGGTGAGGAGATACAGGTGCACTATGAGGTATCAAAAATTGCTTACTGATAGTAATAAGCAATATAATTAAAAATACATGCAATCAAAAGGTAGAAAAGTTTACATTATGGGCTGCCAACTCTTTTCAGTTAAAAAGCATTGGTCAATTCAGATAAGGTTTCTAATTTAGTTTGTACTTTAACTGCCTAAACTATGAGGGATGTTTCCTAATTTCTTGCATTAGCAATATTACATCAAAAAAATCAAATAACTGTTTGGCACTATACKCTAGAGATTCAAATAAATCTAAATTGATGAACCTATCTTCTGGAAGGAATATTCTGCTAATCACAGCATCAGCATAATACCACCTAGTCAATGCTTCCAGCAGAGAAAGACAGAGGAAGAGAGGCAATAAACCCATTGATAAATATCACTAATTTGAATTCACTTTGCTTAGGGAAATTCTGGATGAATTTCGTCATCGACTACATTGAGTTTATGTCCCAAACAAAATTATCTACCAGAACTGTTTTATTTAGGACGCACTGAAAATTAAAGTCTGGTGGACCAAGCTCTTTATAAGAAACACAGGGCTATGTGATGATGCAAATTCATTAATGAACTAGAGTTTTGCTTATTAACACATCTCCACTYAGCTGCAAGCTGGAGTCCGTGCACAAGCTGCTGCCCTGCTCTGAGGAGGCTTTTGCTCCATTCCTTTCACAGTGGTCACAAAATTAACTGTCATTATTAGGGAAAGACTGAAAAAGGATGGCTGAACATAGGGATAATGTGCAGGSAGAGGCTCCTATCTTTGCCCAGGCTGTTTTTTTTTTCCATATTTTAATATTTCAGCACTTAAAGTGAGCATGGTACTTAAAGTGCATGGTACGTCGGCAAACAAAACTTGCAGGTCCTTTTTCCGGAAGAGGTTAGCTTGCAAATTAGACATAGCACAGCAAGGGCTGACAAATACCCAGAGAATACTAAGGCAGAAACACAGAAGAGTGATGTTTATTATTCAGGAGACAAGAACTCTGCAGATATTTGTGTTCGCATCTTTTTAGATCTCATTTTCCTTTTGCTTGTTGTTTACTAACACATGGGCCATTGCTGGCAAGGTAACAGCACTGCAATGCTAACCAATAAGTTCTCTATCAGATAACCAAGTTTTCTTGACGTTATGCAAAATATTTCACAGGGGTGTGCAGAGGCACCCTCGCTCTCAGAAASGAAGGGACCAGTCTGACTCAGTTGTGCTGGGGTGAGATGACCAGTTGGAGCTACAGCCTCACACTTGCTCCTCACAACTTCCCCACCTGCTCTCACCATTTATCCRCCCAGCCACGTAATTAGGAAGTTGAGACCAAGAAACCCAGTTTTCTCAGATCAAAAGTAAAATGACTTTAGAAAGAATCACAACGCAATGACAATGTGAAAACATTAAACCAAAAATACAGAGACACCAGCAATTCTCCTTCCTGCTTGCAGTCAGATTCTGAGCTTTGAATCTGAGCTCAAACTGTCAGAGCTGCAGCCCCGTGGCTCGAGAGGGCTCGAGGGCTCTCCCACTGCCCTGCACAAGACTCTCAGCAGCATCCTGGGACACCGCACTCCTGGAGGGGACAAGAGGCTGCTGAGCAGGACGCACGCCTAGTGGGTCGGGGTAACCTGCCCTTCAAGCTGCAGGCCAAGCTGCTCGCTGTGCTGCGTGGGATGAAGAGAACTCCCCACCCTTGCTCCTGGCTGAAGGGTAATGCGGGGCGCTGGGAAACTGCCAGGCGCCTTAGCCACACACAGGAGACCTTGTTCCCATGTAGTGYCTGGACATACCCCCAGGCCCATTCCTCTTCCGTAGAGGGAAAACAAAAGGGAATGGCTGTACTTTTTTTTTTTTTTTTTAAACCAGAAATGCACTATTTAGAATAGATGGCTATTCAGCCAGGCTGGACCTCCAAAATATTTTCCCTTTCTGCCCCTTATTCAGCATATATTTTAATCTATGCAAGTTGAAGTGGTAAAAAATGAGTGAATCAGCAGGGCAGATGAGGCCTGTATAGCACCTCGCAAGCAGGTCCATGCTGCTCCAGACAGACCAACAGCGCTTCCTGTCATTCCCTTCACGAGAAACCTCCTGAGCCTCGGGACCCATCGTGGCATCCATCCACAGCACAGTACTCCACACTCACCATCCAAAGGTATGGAAAAAGCCCTCTGTGGGACATAAATATTGTGCAGCTTGCATGGGCTCCAAGGCTTTTAGGAACTCCTGTTTTAGAGCATTTAAACAAGTTGCATAATAAGAATTTCTGACTTGGGATGCAAGGGCTGTTGTTCCCAGTATTCAGCYTGTTAGGTTTCCATCACACCAGCAATCCTGTTCTCCTTTATGTTGCTGGTTTTCATTTTTTACTGCATTTAAGTTCTCTATGCTGCACATAAAATACTCTGTCTCCCTTAAAGTACCCAGTGGCTGCTCCTTTTGCTGCATACCCTGATTTTGATGAGCAACGGGTACGCAAGTTGTTCTCTTCTGGACTAACAACTGTTTTTTTTTTTTCCTTTTGTAAGCCCGGTGGAGTCTCTCAGACAGATATCTTTATATAATAAAATGTTTCCAGTGCACAGAGGAGTGCACCTTGCTTCAGGGATTTCCAAGGGGTCACTAAAAGGAGAAAGGCTACAGCATAAGAAGCCAGGTAGTAAACAGCTCTACCAGGCCTTCTCTAGCAACACACAAAGCAAGCTAAGTTTTATTTATGCTGCTGTAGGACAGGTGTCTGTGCTGCAGGGAACCCCCTGGCAGAGGTGGGCCCTGGTCAGGGGAAAGGATGGAGCCAGAGCAGGCTGGCAGAAATGCCAAGGAGGCACTATAGGAACCCTTGCACCTGCTCACAGCATGTGCTGAGGACTTTGGTTCCTAGCCCCATCAGTCTGGTATCAATAGGGAGCATTAAAATTTCACTGTAAAATGCAAACAAAACATCTCATACATTTATTTAACAGTTGTTTTGGCAGACTAAAAATAAATTACTGAAAAAAACTACAAAAGAGCACTTCAGGAATGGAAAGGGAGCACACGGAGTGTACACCATCTGGACCATAAGCTACTTGGCACCAAGTTGCAACTCAGTCGCTTGATGAACCTTTCTCATATAAGCAGAACTCCTGCAATGGTCTAAATAAAACAACCGTGTTCACCGTTTGCTAGAAACGCAGTACCTTTAGCGGTGACCAAGGGACAGGCTGCTCAAACAGCATATTCTGTATCATGTTGGTTGCTAAAAGAACACACTCATAGCTGCCCAATATTCCATTATATGGTCATAGTTCTTACAAAATTAAACTAAAAAAGAGAATCTTAAACAGAAAATGAAAATATTATTAGTCAGAGATGTTTTCCATGCATAAAGGTAAGAATAGATTGACTGAATCAACCACTTGGTTGGTTTGAAGGTAACTATCTTTTAAGGAAATACTGCTCATCAACCGGAATGCAGATACCCATATTCCACCAGTGAATATTTGCAAAGAAGCAGCACTAACCTTGTACGATATAGGGAGTGTTCTCCTCTCTGCACGGCAAGCGCACAGGACGAGGGGCAGGGGCTGGGGGCCTGTTCACAATAAAAGACCTGTGCTCTGCCCTCCTCTCCTCCTCATCAGCCAGGATCATATCGTACACGCACTCGTCCAGCCTCGCACAACTGTACGGGTCTTCCTCCTCATCTTCCTCACATGTATCGTCGTCTTCTCTATAGCATGCTAAGTCTCTGTCATTGTGTTCTCTTTCACTTCTGTCTTCCACCAAATTCCTCTCTGAAAAGGAAAGGAATTGCTTTACAAGTTAAGAAAGGAGAGGAAGGCTAAATTACTGTTGTAGATTTTTCTTGTGTAATTTGGAGTCCTAACTTCACTMAAGTGCTCTGGTTTTCAGAAGTTCTGATCACCTAAGGCCACAGAGAAGATTTTCCAAAGGAATACTTCCATTTCAAGGCTTTCTCGTGATTTCAATACAAATTACCAAAACTGTACAGTTATGCACTCACCCCCCAAATAAACGACCTTATTTAAAAGAAATACTGGATGTTCCAGTTGCTCTCGATGAAGTCACACAAACATGCTCTTTAATTCAAGCTAATTAAGTGGAACTTGTGCCCTAGGACTTTTGGAAAGGGACCATGACTTAGGAATTGAAACCTATTTTAGAAAACATTGGATTTTTATCTTTCCAACAGCTTCAGTGTCTCATTTCTGCAGGTTTGACTAAGATGTACTCTGTGAGAAGACAGAAAATAAATATACATACCAAAAAAGCCCCTTAAAAGCCCCTTACACTATATTAGAAATTTATAATCTCTTGTAACCTATTCTAGGAAYATTCAAACCTCCACCGTCAAATAACTTCGCTGAGTCACTCATTCTTCCATACTCCCTCTGTTTCAAACACGGTGTAGTCCAACCTGTTTAAGGGTTCAGAAGCACTTAATGAGCTTTCTAAGTGAGGTACAAATGTAATTTATAAATGGCATACCTTACTAGTATGTATTCTGGCTAAGATATAAAATGTTTCAAACACACACACACACGAAGCAGCCATCTGCCTTATTTAAATGAAAAATATTTTGCTTCTATGACATTCTAAGTTTTCTCTAGGGGATTTTTTTCCAACTCCCCCAGGGGGCACTCTCATGCCACTGCCAAAAGGATGAGGCTTCAAGAAGAGGGCTGAACTCTGACTTGCCTCTTAGGTATTCCACAGCAACATCCTCACTAAGTGGCTGACTAAAATTATGTAGCAATGACTCATTTCAGCTCTGCTTTGAAAGGCAACTATCATCCCAATTTAGAGAATTCCTGATATTTTCTCCCCATCGCTAAAGCTGAAACGATGAACTAAGGAGAACGCTTCAGGAAAAGCAGAGCATCTCTCAAATGAACCATTCAAACAGGGCCTTTTTCAGATGAGCTCTATTATCCTTGGACTCAGTACAAAATCCAGCATAACAACAACTTTCTCTGCTAGTATCCATGTACAGGCAGTTCTACTAAGCCTATATTAATACATCCTGTATGCAAACCCTGCCCCCCTCAGTTATGGATTTAAATATTAACCTTTGAGTATTTTGTGGGAACTAAATTCAGTTTTTATTTTCATTCAGGCTTKCTTTCTTTTAGAAACTGCTTGTAATCAGCTTGTAACCTGAAGCAGGCTATAGGGCTAGAAAGCTCCTTCTGGATACTTATGGGAATGGCAGAGGTGCTTGGAGATGGTAATTTAGGCCTCTGATAGGTTATGCCACATTTGAAAACAACAGGAATAAGCAGTAAATAAAAATAATGCTCTGGAGCAAACTCACAAATGATTTGTGTGCACTCATCAGCAGTGCCCAGCAATCCTTGCTTTTTTTCCCTTGACTATTTCAAACAGGTATTTACCCTGAAGTSCTTCTTATGAGAGGGCTCTGAAGTGTACCCCTCCAAAACAGATGCCACCACTATTTTAGTCTTTTCATGCTTGAATCAAACTACAATGCTTAATTCAACATTTTTATTCTACGGTCAAAATATTTAAAACAAGAAAATTGAGGAAAAAAAGCACACCATTTCATTGCTGTGCTTTCTCCCTCACTTTCTCCCTCTCTTCAACGTAAAACACAATTTAGTGTTGTATTTATAATCACAACTTTGATTAAGCCTAATAAAATACTATTTCTCCCACAGTCACCTATTAATTCTACCAGTGAAATTCCAAACTGTATTCAAAACCTTATTTTTAATCTTTAAATGGTAGCTACTTAAAGTTAACTTGACAAAAATATACTCTCAATGTTTTAAAAATCTCTGTTGCAACTCTAAAACATGATGTATTATTTGACAGTTCTGTAGGAGGGTACAGGAAGAAGATCTGCACCCAGAGCCCAGCAGTCCACAGCTCAGTATTAGCTGGCATTCGGGTCAGGATAATTCTGACGGAGCATTGCGGACAGGCACATACCTGCCGTACAGCGTTAGGGCCATCCTGTCTGGCTGCTACTATTAGAAGTGACAAGCTTCATCTAGCAGCACCTGACCTGAGCTGTGCATACGCTTGTACTTGCGTTTTTTCCCTCCCAAGATCATACCTTGTGCAAAATGGTGCAGATCATCCTGTCTTAGGGTGCCAGCCAGATTTCGAGGGGGAGGAAGGGGTGGCCTCTTATAGAAAAAAGTGTGTCTTATGTTCTCTCCAGGATCCTCATCACACAGGTTGGCATACAAACTGTAAGAATTGTTGCAGCTGTATGAACCTCCCCCTACTTTATCTTCATGTTCTGTCTTGGTTTCTTCCTCGTTATCTTCTACATCCTCCTCCTTTTCTTCATCCACCTGAGCTTTTCTTTGGCGTCTTGATCCAACTCCATGCTGATCCCCTGGGCTCTGCTTGGCTTTTAATGCTAAAGAAGGTATTATTTCATTTAAAAYTTGCCATCTGGAAATGTTTCCTGTTTCAAGGTTTTGCACAGAAGTAACACAATGGCTAATAAAACTTTTATGAACTAATACAGTAGGAAACCTGTCAAATACACACTGTCAGTGAATAGCTTTTAAAATATTTACCAGATCAACCGTGGAAGTTTTTATTATATATTGCTACTCTGGCACGCAATGTCTTTGTGCATGCAATATGTTAAACTTTTCTACAGTTATTGTCAAACAGAATCACACACACTTACCTTGCTCTGTAATTTGTATTACCTGATTTTCAGTGCAGCCCAGCATAGCAGTTAGTAAAATAAAGCCATAGCTCACACAGCTGTGCAACTTGCTTTTAATACCCTGTGGAGGCTGGCTGCTTGTTAAATCTTTAAAATGAAATAAATGTTGCCCTTGGAAGAAGAACTCCACTTTCCTGGGGAAACTGAGCTCTCATGTCTTTAGCGACCCATGGACACAGAACAAGAACAGAACACAACAGATGGATACACAAGTGTAAAATTTGTAAAATATCTCTATGTATAGCATCATGCTTTGGGTAGCCGACCTAAGAAGCGTAACAGAACAAAACTATACAACTCCTTTAGCAGCCTTGTAGCCCATGTAGTAACTGGCCCTTGAGGCAGGTTTTCCATTCAGAGCTCTGCTTTGGAAAGACTTTCCTTTAGCCACTGTTCATGCTGAACATGAGACAGTTTGAAAGATAAACTTGACAACAAATACATAAGATAAAAACAAGGTAAGATAACAAGATAAATCACGTGTTTTATAGACATGTGATACTGTAAGATATACGTAGCTATAAGAAAATGCCACGAATAAGTGCAAATAAAACAAGCAGCAGCTTTCAAAGGGAGTACAGATGACTGCATGCATTAGCATCAAGCCTAGACGTATGAAGAGCAGACTGTGCTTCATTAAGTCTTCCCGCCTCCGCACAGGAGTTGGCCACCTCTGCAGGCTCGACCGTCTGCCAGATCACTAACAGATCCCTCTGTCTCCAGAACCTTCCTGGAGCTGCCTTACACTGCGGCTTATTTCATAGAGCCATGACTGTATTAGCACAACTGGGCAGTATATAAATCTCTCACCTGCCTTCCTCTTCTCCCAAGACATCTGCCCACCTCAGAAGATGGGGCAAAACGTGGATGTGGAAAGCATTCACATAATTTGGCCATATCATTTGTATTTAACCCCACACAGTCTCCAGATTTCTTTATTTCTTATTTAACAAAGACAACATCTACAAAGCTGTCTCACAGTATGACTTACAAATGGCTGGTTGAGTTTCAGAGCCTAACATAAGGACATAAGTGTCATCCTCTTCCACTTCCTCCTCGCAACTGGTGAAGTTATCTGCCCTATTGGTCTGGAAAGAAAAAGAAAGCAGAGAACATATATTGGTGATGCAATCCCAAAGCAAAGTCATGCAGGTTCAAGGAAGAAACGATTATCTGGAGAAGCAGCAGACAATTTCTGTACAATCTCCAGACTTTTCCTCAAGTCACAGCGCTCTCTTCCAGAATTCAGTATCACTAAATTTGATAAGGCCAAATGCTTCCTTGWCAAGCTCTTTAAGTCTGAACAAGGCATGTTACTGAGAAGGAGGAAATCCTTTACCAGAACTACTTACAATGCTAAATGCAAGATGTACTTTCTGTGTGGCTCAGCAGTGAATTGTTCCATTAAACACCACAACTTAGTCTATTTTATTCCCTCCATGTAATTCACGCTCTGTCAAACTCACCAGGATATAGTTAGCATCAATCTCCTCTGCTTCAGGGTAGAAAAATTTCTCTGCCTTCTGTGTAAAGATGTCTGAAGAACATCACGCATGCTTTCCTCCCTSGGACAAACTTCTCCTTCCTAAAAGTCATGGGTAAGCTATAAGACCTTTCTACCTCTCCAATAAAAACTATTTTTCCTGAAATCAGTGTATCCAAGTAGGAAAGCATGAAAAATGCAGCTCCCTTCAGTCAGCCTTTCAAGGTCTGTACAGTTTATCCTAGGCTGTATCTAAATACTAATACTAAAATTTAATACTAAACTAATTCAATTTATACATCTGAGTCAGTTCATCCGCCTACCAGTTTTCATCATTAAGCCTTACTCCTGGAGAATAAGACTTCAGGACTTCAAACACTAGCTTAAATTGAAGGTGCTACATTTAATTTGCTTAGGACAAAGGCTGTCTAGTCCTCTTCTGAATTCTAGATCATTTCTATCTGCTTCTTCAATAGCATTCAGACTTACTATCAGATAGCTATAAAACATGATCCTGTCATGCTAAGTCCATTCATTTACAGCTGAGGTAGCTTCAGGGGCTTGATTTTTTTTTTTTTTTATAACACGTAGCCTAGATGTTTCTTCTAATACCACTTCCAATATTCAGCACCTAGAGCTCTGCCAAACGGAGCTTTGCTCACTGGCCTCTCTCTCAGGCTCTGTGGCTCAGCATTTCAGATCAGAGGAGAGGACAGTCCGGGTATGGCTGTCCTGCACACACATCCTTAAAGATCTTTTGTATTATCTATCAGGCAATAACTTTTCAATCACCTGAAGCTGCATGATCACCAGAAGAGAAAGTCAGTGTGGTTCTGGCATGACAGAGCTCACAACTCTGCTGATATGGAGCCCTAATTCTCCTGTGACTTTGAGAAACCAGTTACCAAATGCTGGCCAAAGCTATCATAGTCTTGCTATAGAGGCTGTGAAGGCATGTAAAGCAAAAAGGCAAGCACACTTGTGCTTTAAAAATGATCTGGCACTTATGTGCACAGGTATACTGGTGCCTAGGTCTTTAGGGTCTGCGCAGGCCAAAGCAGTAGACACAGTCTTCCTTAAAGCTCTTGGTGAACCAAATCCAAAGGAATGTGGATTTACTTGCACTTACACTTACACTGAAACTGAATGCAGTACTGCGCACTGTTCTTTCATAAAGGTAAGAGAAAGCAACAGGCTTGAACATGTGAGATATGAGTCTGGAAGATTTCTGCAGCTGAGTAAGACTATGCCCAACTATAAATCACCTTGCTGAATCATGGAGTTGAAAGAAATTTGAAAAATCTTTCTATTATATAAATTGCTAATGGAATACAGACTAGTACAGGAACCAGGGCATGGGGCACCCTGATCAATAAGCTTTTCCATTTTGACAATGAATTGTTGAAAATTAGCTTTATAAAAATATTTCTTATTACCTCCAATTTCCCCCATTAGCTGTGTTTCATTTTGTGCTTTCATAAGGTCTTCAAGTGCCTGTGCTACACATCCCAGTTTGTCCTCAGTAACCTGATACATCTCCCACTTCCTGAGGACTTCCTTCTGCCAGCTGGGCTTTTTAGAGAGCAAACTGAACTACTACACTTTCCATCCTTCTTCCACAATAAGTTTGCAGTTCTATCTTAATAGCATTTCCTTAAAATATCACTTTTACCTCCTGTGAGATGGCACACAGGAAAGTTTCCTTGCCAAAACTCTAAACTCACTGTTTTTTTTTTTTTTTTTTTTTTTTTTCTTTTCTGAAATCTGCTGCTATTCTTTTGTTATTTCTCCATCCCATGATAGGCACTGGATATTACCAAGCATGTTAGATGCCTCTCTCTGATGTTACCTTCTGTTCAGACATTCCCAGTAAGCTCCTCCTGACTGATTACAACCCAAGAAGGGAGTCCTGCAACCATTTCCTTCACTATCAGCATCAGCAGGTACTTAGCATAAGCAGACGAAGTCTCAGTGYATTTTTGACAACAACAAACTCAAATATAACAAGTTCTCTGACCCAAAAGAGGGAGGGATGGTCTAACACCTATCCAATTCAAAGTCATGGCTTGAACACCAAAATGAGATGTGCTGACTTCCTTCTGAAAAGGGGTGTTCTAAAAATCCAACTTCTTAAAAAAATATAAACAATAAAACAGCTTCTGCACTCTCTTAAGCACAAATTAGAACATCTTTTCCAGAAAATTTWAAAAAAGGGAACAAGAAACCACACTTTCTAAAGTGACTTTACTTTTTGATAATTCCGTTTCATGCAACTTTATGGCTTAATGGAAATCTTAATAATCTCTTCAGAACAACTGAAAAGCAAGATTGCATCTGATCTTTAGCAGAGACAATCCATGGGAAAACTCTGCTGCTCTCACCACCAAATCTACTTTCARGCATGGTAACCAAGACTGGGAACATGCAGAAACAGATTAAACGTCACTTGCAACACAACCTGTTACACTTCATACTCCAGGCTCTATGTCATKGTTTCTTATTTCAGAAGTACAGACTTTCCCAAATCTCCGAGAATATGCCCTGGTGCCTCCTCCCTGACATCAACAGCACCCTCTAGGATAACCCTTCTCCTTCAGCAATGTTGGTGGAAAACTTCAGCCCTGGAAAGCTGCTGAGGCCTTCATGGGCAGGCGGCACACTCCCTGCCACAGTACTGCATCCTCTCCCTGAGAGGGAATGCAGGCACGAGGCAAAAAAGCCTGGAAACAGGGAGACACCCCTCAGAACCTCAAGGCAGACTAAATTACTTTGCTTAGATGGAGGTTTCCTCCATTTCTCTCTCAATCGTATAGCTCGTATACAGCTCGTATATATATATTTATTTTTTCTCCCCTCTCCCAGGTAACTGGCTCATACTGTTCCTCAGAGCTACTAGCACTACCTGCTTAGCCCTCAGATGCAACCACAAAAGCAGATAGGGCCAGGAACATCCTGCCCTTTGACACCTATTTTCCCAGTTGTTGCTTCACCTCATTCCACACTCCCCACAGCCCTGCCTGGGCTGCAGCCTTTGGCACCGGGCCTCTCCCAGCCTTCCCAAACGCAAAGGTGAAAAGCAGCCTGTCCTGGCAGATGGTCCCCACTCACGCTTCCCCACACCATGCAATGCGAGCAGACACTTTGGCAAACAAGCTCCTTCACTCACTTCCACCTGTGCCCTTGAGCTGCAGCCTAGTGACCTGCCAGTTCAGTTATAAAAATTTTTCTCTCAAGTTTGCCTTAACGTTACTAATATGCACATATTCCACAATGTAAAATATTCATCAAAGTACTAGGAGTGTTTAAGTATTTATTACTCATTCTTCCCGGGGCCCTGTATGAGCACCTGGAGAAATGACAGAAGCCAGCTTCATAAAATTGATTGCATGCGTAAGGCCAGAATCAACACTGCTGTTCATTAGCTTTATTAATGCTAAGCACTTTCACTACCCTATTACCTTGCTTGCTAACTCATACTTGCAAAGAAATAGATGAGGAGACAATGCAGACTTCTCTGAAGCTCAGTGCAACTCACTCAAATCCATCTCACAATCATATGTAAAAAAGCAYTCATGAACCCAACCTCTTTTTCAAGTCACACTTCTGGTGGGCAGGTGGGGAGAGGAGAGGTAGAGAGAAGTTGGGTTGCACATTTTCTGCCCCAAAACACTTAGACAGAAAGCAGTTTTCAGCAGGCTGGGCTGAGCAGCCCAGGAGCTGGATCCRGCCTTTGAAACAGCTGATCTTGGCCTCCTCACCTCAGCAAGTGTCRTCTTACAGAAGGCTGAAAACACCACATATTACTGTGCCAGTCCAGGCTGCTGCCTTCTCCGCTTGCTCCTGACCCAATGGAGCGAGCAGTTSGGTGGATGCAGCAGGCAGCCACGAGGTCAGCACAATCAACACTTAGAAATTCTGTAGGAGACCCTTCTCCGCCCCATGTCTTTGCAGAAGATCAAKGGTAGGAGAAGTTCCCAGGACTAGTTTGTCAAGGACAGTGTTCACTGCTGCACTTTCCATTATTTCCTCTCAGCTTTCCATGCATTATTGAGGCRCTTGGATATCAACAGAAGGTGAGAGCTTCCACGGTGCCAGTAACACCCATTAGCCCACTGAGCTAGAAGTAACAGGTCTGAGTTTGTGCCACCCAAGGTAGAGAGCAAAAAGAACCAGTATTTCTAATCAGTAACTGTACTTAGAATAAAGCTGCTCATTCAGTGAACAAAAGGCAATGATTACTCCATTACTCCAAATGACTTCGCAAAGTAGAAAGCAGTCATAATTTACTGCAACCCCCTCATGCTTTTCTAGCATCTCATGCAGCTGCTTGCAGCATGTGGCTTTATTGCAGGGGACTGGGCATAAAAAATGCCACAGTGTTGTCACTTTTCAAATATATGAGCCCTACCTCAGAGGTGCACACAATTTTCTTACAAAAATGTATTCCTTTTGCATACAGAAGGCATCATCATCTTTCCCAGTGCCCAGATTTCTCTTTTGGGATCTTATGTGTGTATAACTTATTTATTTGCCTCTTCATTTTAAGTGAACAGTTCTTCCTTTGCCCCTACTCGTTCAGTCTCACTGTGACCTAACAGACTGGCA